GGTTGACAAAGTCCATGAGTCTGCTGTTGGCTTTTGTTATCTCCTCCCTAAGCTCTTATATTTTCCTTTGATGTAAGGTCTTTATCTCCTCTATCATTTCATCCTTTACTGTATTGTTTCCCTCATATTCTGTATGACCTGAAAATTTCTTTCTGTGGCAGATTAATGTCTGCTTCCTCTATACACGTTGTTAGGTTCAGGACATCTTCTGCCATTGCCTTTTGTCTCTCTTGTTTTTTCATTGAGGTCGTTGAGGCTGGTTGCTCTTTGTGCTGCATTGTTTTCGAGGAGCCCGGGGCCATTATCCAGGGAGTTGAAGAGCACTGGGCTCTTTCTGGGAGACTTGTAGGAATGCTTCTTCGAACTGCCTGCAGCTAATTGCACTATGGAATTGGCCTACCACTTTATCCTCCTGTGGCTTCACTCTTTCCTTAGTCAACCAGTATTCTGTAATTTGGAGGGCAAGTTGGATGGTCTTCTCAGGGCATGGTGGTTGTGGACCTGTGAGGATGGTGTTGCACTGGGTGATCTCACAAGAAGCCATGATGGTGTGGCCCACAGCAGCTGGGGGGACCGCAGAGGGTGTGCAAGAGTGCCTGCTTCAATGGAAGTGCCACATAAGGCAGGATGAAGGCGGGCATGTTAAGCGCTGCAGAGGACAGGTGAGTGGAATTTCCCCCGGAGGAAGGTTGGCGGGCTTTCCTCAGCCTCAGGTTATGCTGCAGAGTGTGGAGATCTCCCAGTTGGATGGAGGGCAGGTGTAAATGCCCTAGGTTAAGGAGAGTGGCCTGGAAGTCAGTGGTGGCATGTGAGCTAAAAGAGAAGAGAAAAAGAAAAAGAAAAAAAATCCCGCTGAGACTGTGGGGGAAAAGAGAGAAGAGAGAGAAACAAAAGTTCCAATATAGCTGAGCCCAGATCCTTGACGGTGGGGCTAGAGTGGTTTAAACCCTGCCTCAAGGCTGTTCTTTGTCCAAGCCCCTTGTTGTAGCCACTGTGTCAACCCATCTTGTTGAGGGCCTTCCTCTTTTTTGCTGCCCCTCTACTTTTACCAATCATGATGTCCCTCTCTGGGAACTGGTCTCTCCTGACACTGTGTTCAAAGTGTGTTAGAGCCCTGCCGTCCTTGCCTGCAAGGAGCACTCTGGCCGTATTTCTTCCCAGACAGATGGGTTTATCCTCTAGCAGCCCACGGTGCTCTCAATGTTCTTCACCAGTGCCACAATTCAAATGCATCAGTTCTGCTCCAGTCTTCCTTATTCAGCGTCCAGCTTTTGTATGTACATGAGGCAACATGCAGAGAATGCCATGGCTTGAGGAACCTTGGTAGTGCAGTGTTTAAGCACTCACTGCTAACGGGAGGGTCAGTGGTTCAAATGCACCCACCGCTCTGTGGGGGAAAGACGTGGCAGTCTGTTTCTTTAGATTGACAGCCTTGGAAACCCTGTGGGGTGGGTCTAGTCTGTCATAACATCTCTGGGAGACGGAATAGACTCGATGGCAGTGGTAAGACATATCTAGGTTTCAGTGTCTCAAGAACGATAAGACTGAAAATAGTGTCGAAGAATTATCTCCACGTTTTTCGGTTAGTAAATGCAGTCATGTAACATCAAGTCAGTTCCAACTCCTAACCCTACAAAAGACCAAGACACTGCCTGGTATTGCACCATCCTCACAATAGTTATGCTTCAACCCATTGTTGAAGCCACTGTGGCAATCCATCTCATTCAGGGTCTTTCTCGTTCCCACTTCCACTTGACAAAGGAGCTCTGGTGGTGGAGTAGTTCTGCTTTGGGTTGTTAAGGTCAGCAGTTCAAAGCCACCAGCTGCTCTGTGGGAGAAACATGGGGCTTCCTACTCCTGTAAAGAGTTACAGCCTTGGAAACTCGCAGGGCCGGTTCTCCCCTTTCTTGTAGGGTCGCTGTGAGTCAGCACTGACACAATGGCAGTGAATGTTCCACTTTACCAAGCATGGCCTTCTTTTCCATGACGTTCTGGTCTCTCCTGATAACATGTCCGAAGTACAGGAAACGAGTGTTATCATCCTTGATTCTAAGGAGCATTCCGACTGTACTTCTTCCCAAGACAGATCTGTGTGTTCTTTGGGCAGTCCGTGGTACTTTCACTATTCCTCGCCAGCACCATAATTTACATATGCATCTATTCTACTCCAGGGAAGAAGACTTGAAAAAGCCATAGCAGAAGAGGAGAATATTGTGTCAGTGCATTTTTTCCTTTGCATTGGGAAAGGATGCCCCTTGGAGGCATGACCATGGGTTTAAGCCAAGTCCGGTGCTGGTGTTCAAACACCAGTCTTTTTGTTGTGGTGGCTGAGAAGTGTCTGATGGAAGTTTGTGCTAGCATCTCAAGCTACTTGAACATATGCTTATTGCTCTTTTGAATGCTTGTAGCCTACTTCTCCTTGAAGTAAGCATCTACTCCTGCTTCAGAAGCCAGCTGGCCTATTTCCTCTTCTGGAGGTCTTTCTTTGACCCCCAGCTCCGTGTTCCCATGGAGTCTCCGGACTGTCTCTGAACACACTCCACTGAAAGCTTTTTCTCTAATGGCAGCAACAGTTGACATTTACTGAACATCTACTGTAGACCAGGCACTGTTCTATGTCATAAGCTGTGGTAACTCAGTCCTCACTCCAACCCTAGGCTCTCTGATCACTAAGCTAAATAACTGCCCACGGCCACCGAGCAAATGGAAGTATTGAACTTGAATTCAGCTCACATTTGAAGCTCATGCTTCAGCTTTCCCTCAGAATGTGGAATCCCTCATCTCACCCCCTACTTCAAGTGTACAGGCATTCCCCGGAGAACGAATGGTGAGAGCCCTTCCTAACAGCGTCTTTTAGAACTTGTAAATTGGTCAGAACAAAAGCACACAGTCTTAGTTGGCCTTTTGTGCAAGAAAAATCTTGAAGCCATTTCCAGGATTTCAAAGTTGCAGGGGCAGCAGGCGGAGGTGATTGGGATGCAGCATCAGCTGTGAGTTGCAGTTGGTCTAGTCCTTTCAAAGGGAGGGCACATTACACAGCATGAAAGGGCAAAGAGGGGTTGTCCGTGTGCCTGACATTTGTGGGCTGGGGGCGGCCTGCACAGCTCTTGAATTCGGGAACTCTGTCTGACTCCTCTCTGTGTGCTGAGGCCAATAAGACACCTGGCAGGTGCTCAGCAAGGGCCCAGTGACTGTGCCACTGCTGTGTGTTCATTCAGCTCTCTGCGTCGGCTGATTGCTTTTGACAGCTGTAATGAATGAATTTGTAAATATTTGCCTCCCTGGATCTATGAAGGGGGGCCCTGGGTGGCACAAACAGTTCAGGGCTCGCCTGCTAGTGGAAAGGTTGACGGTTCAAAGCTAGCCAGAGGCTCCTTGGAAGAAAGGCCTGGAGATCTGTTTCCAACAGGTCACAGCCTTGAGCCAGAGTTTATGCTGTGCACTCATAGGGGGTGCCAGAAGGCAGGCAACAACAGCATCTGAAGATGTGGCGAGGGGAGCCCACCGAAGAGATTACACTGATTTGTCTCATCTTTTTCTGTGTCTGCGCACGTGTGTGTGTGTGTGTGTGTGTGTGGTTTCTCTCCCCAGAGAGGTGGAGAAGATCAATCAGAAAGCTGCAGAGCAAAAGAAAATAAACCACAGATGTGTGCCCCCATCAACCTTCACGGATGAATATGTTGACTGGAAAGTCAAAGGAAGCCATTGCAGAGCCAGAATGTCTGTTAAGGTGCGTTCAAGGTCAAAGACGGGTGGGGTGGAAGCAACTCCACACGGGGACAGCTTACAAATTCCTAATACAGAAACCGACAACGGTTCATCTAAAGCCCAGATGAGAACTTGGGCAGAGAGCCAAAATTAGAGGTCAAGAAGCCATGTGGGAGTAGGTGTCTGCGCTTGACCGACCTGAGGTGACTACAGAAGCAGATACCTATCCTTTATCTTGGAGGTGGGCTATCTACAGTATAAAAGTTCTTCATTGCCAGGGGGCGTTGAGTCTTTTTTTTTTTTTTTTTTCTGAAAAAGTGGAAGTAGGTCATATAAGTTTGGGGATCTATGTCCTAAAACAGTGGTTCTCAACCTTCCTAATGCCGCGACCCTTTAATACAGTTCCTCGTGTTGTGGTGACCCCCCCAACCATAACATTATTTTGGTTGCTACTTTATCACTGTCATTTTGCTATTGTTATGAATCGAGCGACCCCTGTGAAAGGGTCGTTCGTCGATCCCCAAAGGGGTCAGGACCCACAGGTTGAGAACCACTGGTCTAGAGAGCTAGCCACACAAAGAGAACATTCTATCGGGTCTCACAGGCCATGAGTTGGAACTTGAAGAAGAACAGAAAACAAGCCAGTTGCTGTTGAATGGACTCTCACTCACGGCCAGGCAGCGTGTCCCTGTACAGCTGTGGTCCAGTTTCCAGTTGTTGATTTTTCAGAAGTCGACCACCAGGCATTGCTTCCAAGGCCCCCTCAGGGTGGGCGCAAGCCTCTACCTATTTCCCTTCCAAAGGGAACAAAATGGGAAATGGTCTTTTTGTCTGGTAGGCAAGGTGGCGAGTCCCAGCCAATGCTATTGATCGGCTTGTAAACTCTTCCTTCCCTGCACCTATCAGGAGTCCAGTGACAGGTGGAAAAACCTGACTGAATTTTTGAACCCATCTTTGTTCCTGTCTCTACTAAAAAAAATTTTTTTTGTTTTTAAATCCCTACAGGTGCAAAAGGAATGGAGAAGAAATCAACCTAGATTGTCCAGTCCCTTCCCTCAACCTTTAAAGCCTTGAGAAGCATCGAACGATTTCTACAGACACTCCTGTGTTGGTGAGGAAGGATGGCAATGCTGTTTAGCTGTCGGGTGGTCAGAAGGCACCTGCCCCTGCGCCATCCTCATGAGTGTTCTTAGGCTTGAACCCTTCATTACAGCCACCGTGTCCTTTCATCTTGCCCAGGGCATTCCTTTTGTTTCTCACTGCCCCTTTGCCAAGCACGATGCCCCTCTCCAGGGGCGGGTCTCTCCCAACACGTCCAAAGTAACGTGAGACGGCGTCTCACCATCTTTCCCTCTCAGGAGCGTGCTGACTGTCCTTCCAGAACAGATTTGTTGGTTCTTTTGGCAGCCCATGGTCCTTTGACGATTCCGCGCCAGCACTAGACTCCACAGGCACCGAATGACAACAGCAGGAAAGGAACAGGGCGGCCCACGGCTGCCGACCACGCGCTGTCTGTTCCCAGAGTCGGGAAGGAACTGCGTTGTGGTTTTTCCCAGGCTGAGGGAAAAGCAAGCGTGAGGAGGAGCCTTGTCCTTGGGTCACCACGTTTCTGCATACCTCGACTCTCTCACTCACTCAATGGACTTTAAATATGATCCAGAATCATCCCGATTTACAATAGGACCATGGTGACCACCGCTTATTGGCTCTCCGCTCTGAGCTGAGCATGAGGGAAGCGCGTTACAAAGATGACCTGGTGGGGCTTTCGGCCAGCTCAACCAGGCAGGGATTGTTGTGGTCCCGTGTGGCCGATTCTGACCCGTGTGGCCACCCGGGTGGCCAAGAACCACCCCATAGGTTCTGTGGGTTTGTTTTATTTTTTTAATGTGAAGACCTCGATCTTGATTTTTTTAAGTCATTTTATTGATCTTGATGTTTTTTAATAGCAATGGGTTCATAAATATTTGTCCCTCTGTGATTGACTGACTTCGCTCAGCAAGGTGTTGTTGTTACGTGCCATTGAGCTGGTTCCAACCCTGAGCAACCCTGAGCACAACAGAACGGTCCTGTGCTGCGCTTACCACTGGCCCCATGTTTGAGCCTGGTTCTGACTGTGTCTTTATGCCTCTTCAGCCCCTGTACCCCCAGAGAGGAGACGGACACCAAGAAGTCAAAAAGCCTTCTTCTTGGACCTCTTGTCTTCAAGCATACCTGAAGGGAACCTGGCCCAGAATAGGAGAAGGCTTCTAGAGGAGGCCTGTGTGCAGTATTGAATGCCATCTCGTGGAGAAACAGCACAGCGAAACGAGAAAGGCATGTTGCAAGGAGAGACCCCTTCAATCATTTCCAGGCCAGAGGACAAAGCCTGGGAAAGTTCACTCTTGCCCTGGGCCAAAGGCTGTGCTGCAAATAGGAATTAAGACCCTTCATTCACGCATTAACTGATTCTTTCATTCAGTTGGCTGTTAACAATAACCCGGTGGAACACACAGCATTATGGAACACACAGCATTATCCTGCGCTGCTGCCGAGTCGACTCTGACTCTTTGTGACCCCGTAGGACAGAGTAGAACTGCTTCATAGGGTGTACAAGACAATCTTGACGATAGCAGACAGCTTTATCTCTCTCCGACAGAGTGGCTGCTGGGTTTGAACACTGACCTTGCAGTTAGCAGCCCAATGCTTAACTTACTGTGCCACCAGGGTTCTTGACAACATCATAGGATAACCTAATAGTAGTCATCATAAGAGATGCCATTTCCCATCTCTAGACAACTGGACATACCTTGCAGAGGAGTAGTGGGGAGATGAGTCACTTAGGGTACAGTATAGCAATAATAAAACCCACAACCTTCCTCTGGTTCTTAAACGCTTCCTCCCACCAACTACCAGGACCCCAATTTTGCCTTGCAGACCTGGTTAGACCAGAGAATGCACAGCGGTACAGATGGGAATCGGAAACACAGGGAATCTAGGATAGATGAACCCCTCAGGACCAGGGGTGACAGTGGCGATACCAGGAGGGAAAGGGGGTGTAGAAAGGGGGAATGGATCACAGGGAGCTACATATAAATTCCTCTCTGGGGGACAGGCAGCAGAGGGGTGGGTGAAGGGAGACGCCGGACAGTGTAATATAAGATACAATAATAATTTATAAATTATCAAGGGTGCATGGGGGAGAAGGGAGGAGGAAAGGAAGGGGAGGGGGAAAAAGGAAAATGAGCTGATTCCGGGAATCCAAGAGGAAAGCGAATTTTGGGAATAATGAGGGCAACAAATGTATAGATGTGCTTTACACAATTGATCTATGTATTGTGATGAATTGTATGAGCCCCAATAAATTAATTTTTTAAAAAAGATGCCATTTATGGGGGGGCTTATTCTTGGTTTGCGTTTACTATGTGCTGGGTATTCTGGGAAAGCCTTCTTAGATGTAATCTCCTCTAACCCTCCTGTCCACCCCACTCTCCACCTGAGTGGGTATTCCTGCCTCTCACTGGAAGGACGTGGGCCTTACAGAAGGCGGGCGAGCCTTCCGTGCCGCCCCTCCTCAAGACCTGTGGTTCCAGAGGTGAGTAAAGACTTGGCCCCAGACTCTAAAGAGAGAGCAGAATGTGTGCACCAATGAACATATTAGTACTTGGATGGAAAGCTGAGGGAGGTGAAGCCAGTCTTCCCAGGAGCCCTAGGAGAGAAAGAGACCTTACTGAGGCAGGGGACACCAGAAAGATGTTGACTTGTGTCTCATTGAGCAAACTGTGGCTAGCATTCCAGAGAATGGGAATTCAGGAGCAGCCCACTGTGCTCACATGGAATGGCGCATAGACCTAGAAGCACTTGTTCGAAAAACCAGGAAAGGCGTGCGGCAGGGTTGTATCTTTTCACCATACTCCTTCAATCTGTGTGCTGAGCAAGTAATCCAAGAAATTAGGCTTTACGAAGACGCACGTGGCCATCGGGATTGAGTTCGTTTCACTAACAACCTGCGACACGCAGGTTTCACCGCTTGCTTGCTGGAAGTGAGGACTGGAGGCACTTGCTGAGGAGGGTTCAAGGCTGGCTGTAGCCTTTAGTAGGGGTCACAACTCAATGTAAAGAAAAGATTCTTCACGATGTCGTGATCCATGGAAAAAATATTGAAGTTGACAAGGCTTTCGTTTTATTTGACCTGCCGTCATCCACACTCAGGGAAGCAGCAGTCAAGAAAACAAACGGCATGTCACACTGGGCAAATCTGCCACCAGGAGGTCACTTTGTGGACAAAGGTGCCCCTGGCGCAAGCCAAGGTCGCCTCACATGCGCGGGAGAACTAGATAATGCGTCAGGAATTCTGGAGAACTGTTGCTTTTGTATCACGGAATTAGCAAAGAATGTGGACTACAGCAGGGACTGCCAGAAGCCCCAACAAACCTCTGTTGGAGGAAGCGCAGCCAGAACGCTCCTCCGAAGCGAGGATGTGGAGACGCTTCCTCACATCCTGGAAACCGTCTCTGGGAAGGGCCACCCTGCTTGGTAAGGTAGAGGGGCCGTGAAAAAGAGGAAGCCCCTCCCCGAGATGGATGGGCACGGGGACTGCACCGATGGGCTCAAACGCAGCAACGTGTGTGAAGGCGGCGTGGGGTTGAGCAGCAGTTGGGATTGGTGTCCCGGGGTCCTTAAGCGTCAGAATTGCCTTCATGGCACCTGACCACAACCATCGGGCCAAGCCAAGAGGGGGGAAATATCGGTGGTTCTTTAACACCTGGATAAGTGCCTCCCACGGACGTGTATCCTCCAATGGACGTGCAACTCTAGGTGGCCCCTTGGGAAAGAGAACGAGGGTTCTAGGGAAGGAGCTCGTGTTTGGGTGCCATCATGTTCGGAGCTTTGCATCCCTGCCCTGCCCAGTACA